AAAATAAAGTATTATCAGGTTGGGTCGGGTCAACCCGAAAATTTTAAGACTTAACCCGAGACCCGACCCAACCCGGTCGGGTTGAGAATTTTTCAACCCAACCCAGCCCGGGTTGGGTTGGGTTCGTCGAATTCATCGGGTTGTCGGGTTTTTTGAACATCCCTACTCTCTGACGTGGCTCCAGTCGAGCGACGTCTATGCTGACGGCCCTTTGTTCTTTGACTTCCCTTTGTTTTTTTTTCCCTTTTTTTATTATTATGTTGAAGCCACTTCATTTGTTCTTTTTTTTTATTTTGAATTTTATTTTAACCTTAATTTTCTCGATATTTGGAAAATAGATGATGAATTACCTACAACATGATGGACATCTTCTTGTAATGCAATAATTTAAAACAAAATAATTATAAAAGAAACAAAACCCTAATTATCCATACCCCAGATTCAGAAACGACCTCTAAATCCCAAACCAAAATTTGGGTTTTGTTTTAAAGTCATGTATTTGGCGATGCAAATGGCAAAATGACAAAATAAATGACAAAACATATGGGTTTCATGTAATTTATACATTGACTTTATGTTTTATTAATTTAATAATTTTTTATCGACTTAGTTTATATTAAATTTAAATGTTATTTTAAAGAACATACGAAGATGAAGCACAAGAAGCTAAATGACATTTTAATCATCGAATTGTTTTAATCTAATTTTAAAGTTTCAGACATTTTAATCAAAATTTAAAATATAATAACAAAAAATAAAAAAAAATTAATCACATCTTAATTAAATTTCGCAATATTAATAAAATAACAATATATAAATTAAAATACAAATAAAATAAAAAAAATAAAAAGGTGAAAGTCGTGTACAATGTACGCGACTTCCGCCTAGTGACCTGCCACGTTAAATATACATGTTTGCACGGAAATCCGAGGCATTGTACGCGAGTTCTGACTTTCCTATTTTTGTCAATAGTTTTGAAAACCTAATCTACGTCTGAATTTATTTATTTAAATTATATTTATTTTGTAGTTATTTTTAAACTAACATTATTTTTGTAATTTATTTTTAAAAGTAGATTATTTTAAAACTTTGTCCAACAGTTAGCTATCCAATTTTCTCATTCAAAACATTTTTTCATGCAAAACAATTAGGAAAATATGGATTTAGGGCTACAAAACCATATTTGAAAATTGGGTTAAAAAACCTCTAAATTCAAAACTAAAAAACTTTAAAATTACAAGAATCGGTATAATTCAAGACGAACTAAATTTTTTTTATAAAAAAATCAAATCTGGAAAGTGTATAAAAAACCTTTAAAATTTGGTAGAAACTTACAAATTTTCATGTAAAAAAATCATAACAATAAGCTATACTTTGGCAATACAAATGGGTAACTTTTTATGCAAAAGGGTCTAAAATAGCCTAAAAATAATTTCATAAACAAAAAGATTCAAACTAAATAAGAAAATTTTCAGGGCAAAAAACCTTCAAAATCTTTACTTCAAATTGAAAAAGAAGAAATACAAATACCTCAACAATTTTCCGAACAAAATTAAAGAATTTTAGATCAAGAAAAAGAAAACAAAAACAATAAAAAGAAAACTTACTGTTTTTTAGAACGGAAGTATCAAAATTCTTCCTTATTTTTTCTTTTTTTTTTCCATCTTAAAATAGAGATAGGTCTAACAGTCTAACAAAATTACTGTTCTAAAACTGGGGTTGAAGGTTTTTAAAAGGTTTAAGGTTTTCAAAGCAAACCCTTCTTATAAAATCATTTTAAAAAAAGGTATCCAAAAAGATAAAAAGATAAAGATTTATCTTTAAAAAAATATCTTTTTTTTAACTAAAAAACAAATTATCTTTTAAAAATTATTAAGGGATAAAACAACACATAATATATATATATAGATATATATACATACATACATATATTTATATATATAATCTTTTTTTTTGTTACAAACGCCAACCTAAAAAGAAATTTCGTCCTCAAAATTTACCTACATTTTTAAGCATATAATTCAAGATATCTATCCATCATATCCTTTTCAATTTTCCATGTAGCTTCATCAGATGAATGATTCCTCCACAAAACTATTGCTATTTAGTTAAGTTAGTTTATAAATTTTTTTTAAGAAATTGCTTCGAATAAATTTAGTTTGTTAAAGTTTCTTTAAAAGTTACGCTTCCGCATTATTATTAGTCTGACCATATTGGAAAATTCGGGTTGTTACAGGGAAGCTAAAAACTGACCTACATTTAAAATAAGCTCGGAACTCACACTGCTAAAAGCCCACAAAGTATATCACGCGGCGAGCTGGGTAGGGCCAGGTTGGTAGTAGAGAAGAATTGCTGAATGAAGGGGTGCAGGGGGAGTCAGAAGCTATTGTCGAACATTTGGGGATAGAAGTCTACCCACCCAGGTGAGGGGTTGTCCAAATACTCACCAATCTAAGGAAGCCTTACAACTATGTTGGACGAGACTCTATAGGTTTCACGAAGTTCTTGGAGGTCAAACTTAGTGCAGGTCGAAGGCAAGGGTTCATGATCAGACATGGGCTCAGGGTTAAGTTCTCATCAACCAGAAGTAGAAGGTTGACCCACTCCTATCCTATGATCGGTGTCGTTGTCTTTTTGACTTGTGTAGGGCCTCAAAATAATGCCCCCGACTCAGAAGATGACCTACTCATCCTAATTAAGTACGAAAGAGAGAGGGAAGAACTGACCTAGAAGAGTTGTTGAGCTGCGATCACCTTGAAAGCTATAGAGAACTCGAAAGGATTTTTAAGCATTCGCTAGTGAAAGAGTGAGAAAAGAGCTCTCCTATTTATACCAACAAGGAGTGATTTGCAGCGTCTGAGAAATTCAAAATAAATTATCTAGATGCGATCCCGCTAAGAACAAAGGTAGATGACGTCAACATACGTCAACGCGACGAATTATCTTCCATCACTCTTCAAAAGACGCCTCAGGTCAGTGCACCACTTAACTATGCCACTGTGTTGAGCCAACCAAGCAACTCAACATAGTGGGGGCCAATGTTGGAGGTGGATTTTTACCTCACACGTCGCACATCTTGATTTGAAGRGAACTACACGTGGCTTTGAGTCCACAAGGCCAAGATTCATCACCTTGGTCTTATTGCTTATTACCGAGCCGACAAGATCTCCTTTTTATCATGTTCCCATCCTGCGATTTAACCAAC